CCAGTGACAGCATACATGGGAAAGGCTGTGGAGCAAGGGAACACTCCTGCATTGCTGGTGGAACTGTGAATTTGTACAATCCCGTTAGAAACCAACCCAGCAGTTTCTTAGAAAACTGAAAATAGTTCTATCTCAATACTCACCGTTACCATGCCTGGGCATGTACCCAAAAGATACTTGACCGTACCACCGGGACACCCGCTCAACCCTGATCATATGAGAAACTGGAAACAAGTTAGATGCCCCTCAACTGAAGAACGGATAGAGAAAATGTGGTACATCTACACAATGGAGTCCCACTCAGCTATTTAAAAGAAGGATGCTATTAAAATTGCAGGCAAGTGGATAGAACTAAAAATATCCCGAGTGTGGTGACTCCACACAGTACTGTGTGTACACCACACAGTACAGAGGTAACCATGATACAAACCACAGGCGCAAAGAAGCTACCTAACAAGGAGGACCCAAAAAAGGATACTTGGATCTCACTAAGAAGCAGAAATAAAATCGTATTAGAGATGGATGGCAGGAGGGAACTGGGCAGGACAGTGGACGGGAGGGGAGCAGGGATGAGGATTAGGAGTAGACTGAGCAGGAGAGAGAGGGCCAGGTGAGAGAACTGAGATCTGAGGTGGGAGCCCTGTCTTCATGGGCCCGAGACCTGGAGCCCCAGGAAGTCTCTGCGGAACCCTAGCTGAGACTTTTAGCAACAAGGGGTATTAAGCCTGCAGTGGCCAATCCCTTTAACCAGACAGGACTTCCAGTGAATGGATAAGTACGTCAAGCCACCCGAATATCTTTGACCCAAAATTTCTCCTGCATAGATGTGGAGAAAGATGCACAGATAAAGATGAAGCAAAAAGTAGGGAAATGGACAACCAAAGCCCGGCCCTGCCTAAAACCCACTCCATTGGAGAGAACCAATCCCCGACACCATTAATGTTTTTCTTCTATGCTTTTAGACAGGAACCAAGCGTTAACTCCTCTGAGAGGCTTCATCCAGCAGCTGACAGAAACAGATGCGAAGACTTAGAGTCAAACATTTTACAGCGCTCAGGGAGCTCAGGAAGAGTTGGGGAAGGACTTTGGGAGCCAGAAGGGTCAAATACTCCACAAGGAGACCTACAGAGTCAACTAACCTGGGCCCATGGAGACTCACAGGGAAAAGAGCTTGCCTGGCAGATGCTCAGCTGGTCTGCATGTCCCTAACCAATGGAGCAGGGGCCCTCTCTGACTCTGATGCCTGCCTCTGCATTCTGTTCTCCTAAGTGGGCCGCCTTGTCTGGCTTCAGTGAGAGAGGATGGGCCTAGTCCTGCAGCTAACTAATGCACCAGGGCAGGTTGGTGTCCACAGGGGACTTCCTGTTTCCCTGAGAAGGATAGGGGCTAATGAGAAGGAGGGGTGTGTGATGAGGGGGCTGGGAGGAGAGGAGGGGTGGCTGCAATCAGGAAATAAAGTGGCTAAATAAAGTAATGGAGAAAGAATTAACTAAATATCTAATTTCTGGTTATTATCTAATAGAGTAATGAAGGTTTTATTTTAAATTTATTCATAAGATAAGAGAAATCCTCTTATGTTCTCTTACGTAAATTTATGTTTTGTTTCTATTTAGACCAATGTTTCACCCTAAATTAAGGTGTATTTATTTCACTTGAAGTTAAAATTCGCTACACTTTTTGTTGTTCATTACATCTTCTATCATTATTGCAGAAATTTTACTACCTGATACAATTAACTGTACAAGACCTCATTTACCATACATGTAAGTCATATACATGTGTATGTTGGAGAGTCCTTTCACGTTGACTTTTTTAAACACCTTTGCTAAAAAAAGTTGGGGGGAAATATGAAATAACCAAAATATTAAGAAAATTTGAGTGAGATTTAATTTAATGGTGGATTAGTCGACCTTACTTTCCATCAAACTTGTTAGTGTTTGCTGAGAGTTATATCATGCATTATCAGAGTAAAAAGTGAATTTTCAAGGGAAATACTTATTTTAATATTATTAGCAATTTTTGAAACTGTTGGTGGCACACCTCAAGCAAGTATTGCAACAGAAACACAAGCACATCTTGTGTTGATGAAGACATAGAAGAGTGAACAATTTGGAAGAACTGGGCACAAGAGAGGACTTTGGAATGTGAATGTGGACAGAATGTATGATATATTTTAACATGAATGTGATTACATGACTCATTCCTTTGCACAACAAATGTATGTTAATGACATTTGTTTAAAATATGTAAAAATATTATTAAGAACAATTTCATAAGAAAAATAAAATTGTACTTTCTATTTTGAATGTATGGGATTTCTTTTGAAGGCATGGAATGTCTTTTCATTTTTTTTGTTTAATTTACTTTTAAAATGTATTCACCTTATATCCCGATTATAGCCCCCTCCCTCATCTCCTCCTGGTCCCACCCTCCTTCCCTCTCCTCCCATCCCCTTCCTCTAGTCTCCTTCCATCTTCCCCTAGCTTATCAAGTTTCATCAGGACTTCCTGAATCCTCTGAATCCTGGCAAGACCTAGTCGCCAGGGGGAAGTTATCAAAAACCAGAGGCTGCCCCTGGTCCCTTTACTCAGGAACTCATATGGAGACTGAGCTTCCTATTGACTACATCTGAACTGGGGATTTAGGTCTTCATGCATGGTCCTTGGTTGGTGCATCAGTCTCTGCAGGACTCCCTGGGCTCAGAAATTTTTAGCTTTCTTGGTCTCCTTGTAGAGCTCCTGTCCCCTCTGTGTCCTTCTATCACCCTACTTCTTCTGTGAGACTCTCTGTACTCTGCGCAAAGGTTGGCTGTGGGTTTCAGCATCTGCTTCTATCCCCTGTTGCACAGAGCCTTTCAGAGGACCCTCTATAGGATGCTCCCATCCTATTCCCTCTCTTCCACAGCTTCTGGTCTCTATCCTGTTTGCTATTCTGAATGAGAATTAAGCATCCTCCTTAGGGTCCTCCTTGTTTAGCTTCTTTAGGTCTGTAGATTTTAGTATGGTTAGTCTATAGTAGATGGCTAATATCCACTTATACGTGAATGGATACCATGCAGGTCTTTATGCCTCAAGGTTTCCTTACGCAGGATTTCCTAACCGCAGTATGCAAGAGTCCAGAAAAGCCTGGAACAGCTGCTGATTTGCATTCAAAGTAAAAGTTGTGCCAGATTTTTCTTTCTTTCTTTCTTTCTTTCTTTCTTTCTTTCTTTCTTTCTTTCTTTCTTTCTTTCTTTCCTTTTCTTTTCTTTTCTTTCATTCTTTCTTTCTTTCCTAATGTTTTTTTTTATTTTTGTCAGCTTTACATGTATACAATATTTACTGTTCATACCCATCTCCCCTAATGGTCTCTCTTTCCCACTCCAGTACCTCCCTTTCTTCATCCTAACTAAATCTTTTCTTCATTCGTGTTATGGGCACGTGTGTGTGTCTGAGAGCCTATATAGGTGACCACAACTGCAGTGTGTCCATGATTTTAAAGAATCATATTCAGAATCCAAAGGTTTTTAAAGTTTTCTCCACCATCTTCAGGGTCCTGAAATCTTTCTGACCCCTTTTCGTGGGCCCTGGAGAAGATACTATTGATGTCCAACCTAGAGATAAGTCCATAGCACCCACTCACACTTAAAACTCTGATGAGTTATTAATTTCTTCATAAGCATTACCTTCTGCAAATGAAAGAATTTCACTTAAAATGAACATTGTAAGCTGTGTAACTTATAGAAAGCAGAGTGTGCCAAAATAAATATAAAAGCAAAATGAAAACCAAATGAAATGAACAGAAATGATTTCATTATGATAGCTGGCTTTATGTGCCAAGATTAATTTTGTTAATGAATTTAAACTTACAGAAGTAAGGAAATTTTGTTCTCAATGAGATCAGTCATTCTCATTATTTTCATCTTTAGTTATGTATATATGTATATCCATAGGTACAAGACTGCTTAATAAGTGTAGGTATGCTCATATGAGCAAAAGATTAAAGTATTTAAATATAAACACGGTTCAAGACATGCAGTCAGCTCATGTTGCTAAAAGAACAGAACCACAGTCCAACGGTTGACAGACTTGTCATCTGACAGATGGTCTCTAGCTTCAGCTGCCCATTCCAAGAAGCAAGTTCTCTTCATATAACTTTTCTTACCGTTTACGCAAACACACAACTGTCAAGTAGTGTATAGTCTATTGCTGTTTGTTTACTCGTCGGTTTTCTGGAACAGAATCTCTCCTTGTAGCCCTGGATGGCCTGAAACTCACTATATAAAACATCATAGCTTCAAACCCATAGAGATCCACCTGCCCCATCTTCAAGTGCTGGGATTAAGCCATGTGACACCATAGCTAGCCTTCTATTAATTTTCACACTGCGCTGAAGGGGATTTCCTCACATACCACAGCGTTCACCTTCCTCAGCACCACACAAAACAACACAAAGGAGGCATCTGGTATTTTTTTGAAATAGATAAAAGTACCCTTAGGAGTTTAACTTTGTTTCAAAAGGTGTTCTTGCTTCATAAGAGACATGGAATAGGATGCTTTTGTATAATTTTAGAATTACATGAGGATTTAATATTAAACTTAAAACCATGTGCACATACATTGTAAACAGATTCATTATGGATTAAAAACAATCATATACTGCCTGGATCCTCTTCCTCTGTGGCCTGGCGAGGTTGAATCACCAGGGCAGAGGTGATCAGTCTTGATGAGACTTGAAAAGCTAGGGGCAGATGGCAAGGAGAGGAGAGCTCCCCCTTTCAGTAAACTAAGGGGAGGGGATAGGGTGAAGAGGTGGCAAGGTGGGGCCAGGAGGAGTTGAGGCAGGGGGCTGCAATTGGGGGTATAAAATGATCAAATAGTAAAAACTAAAATAATAATAAAGAAGAAAACAATCAGACACAATTCAAGATATGAAAATATCATTTCTGTGGTGTGAAAGGCCATGATCAAGTAAGGTGATCAAATTCTAACTGTGGACCCGGCTGTGGAAATAGTTACGCGATGAAAATAACTCTCAAAAGACCTCTCAGCCCAGGTAGAGACTATTCCCTTGGTTGATGCTGGAAATATGAGCGTGAAGTACAGACGTGTGTATATGTACAAGTCTGTGCTCGCAGCAGGAGGGCATGGCCACCTCACACAGGCTTCATGGATATCGCAACCAAAGGTATTAGAAACTTTCAAACCTCCCCTGTACTGTTTTTATTGACTGAGAAAAGCTGTGGAAGCACAAGGTGAATGAGAACCCTTCACTGGTTAAAGTTATACACTCTGAAACTAGTGTCTCTGGATTTGTAAACAAAATTTGTATGTTAATAGATGTCCAGATATTAATAGATGTCCAGGTTTCTGCCTATTTAAAACTGGCATAATAAACTACAGTAGGGTAGTTGGTATAGTTATATTTCATTGCTTGAATTTTTTTTCTTTTTAGTGTTAGGAAAAGGATTATTAGTAAGTATGCGCACATTTTCCCATCATTGTCATTTAATTTGCTATACTGACAATTCACAGGCTAACATGTGATTTCTCTTCTATTTAAATAGCTGATATTTCTGTGTGGTTGTTATAAAACAGAGCAAGAAAGTGCAGATTTCCTGTCATGAGTGTTTGATGAAACTGTGGACCTAACTGAATTTTAAGCAATAGCTATCCTAATCTTATCTAAAGACATTTACCTATTCCATGCATGTGTCCTAAAATTGAAAAAAAAAGAACAGTATCTTCATCTTTATTACCACTAAGACAGAGCAAAAACTAAGTGGGAGTATAGAGGAGGAAGTGAAATGGAACAAGAGAGTGAGAGAGAGAGAAAGGGGCATGTGGAAGAAAACGGGAAAAAGGCAGGGTGCTGATGGGATGGGATGCCATACTTCCTTGCTGACGCTGGAATTATCTGGAAAGGAAGACTTTGGGTAATGTGGAGTGGAGCTGCTATTCTCAGTGCAGAGTGATTTCCTAGTAACTCTGAGCTTCCAGCATGGAAAATGGACCCTGTGCATATTGAAAATTTTGGTAAATTTCTTTTCAGATAGAAAACTATTTATTATCCACAACTGAGGTTTCCTAGAAGTTGAAATCAAAACATGTTGATAAATATACTCTTTGACCTTGCTCAGAATAATGATTTGTATTACCAATTGACTACTTAAATAAATGTTTTATAGGACATGAAAATGCATATTTTTGGATCTGAGTCATTTTTATATAAACCCCATCTTTATGCCAAATATTGATTAGTGCTCTAAATAATTAAGCAATAGGGCCCCATTTCAAAGAGAATAAATGGGAGGTCTGGAGGGAAGGCAGGAAAGGTGGGCAAAGACAGAATTTTCAATAATTTTATTTAAAACAAGACCCAGGATAATTCCTCTATCGGTGGACTAGGAAAGAGGTGTAGGAGGGACAGGAGGAGGGAGGGTGAGACCGGGAGGAGATGAGGGTGGGGGCTGTAACTGGGCCACAAAGCTAATAAATTCTAAATAACAATAAATAAATGAAAAAATAATAATAATGAAAAATTTCAAAAAAATTCCCAGGAAAGACATGCAATCAGATTAGGGATGCGAGAAGAATCGGGGGGAGCTGGGGGGGGGGCGGGGGGGGGAGCGGGGGGGGAACTCTGTTCAGAATGTATTGTATGGGAAGAGTTTTCAGTATAAAACAAAGAACAAAACAAAACACAAAATAAAAACAAGACCATGGCTATACAAATAATGGAAAATTTTTATTATGTTCTCTTGATAGGGCTGAATGAAAATAGACATTTCTCTGCTCTATGCAAAGCCGCACCAGTGTTGGATGAGCCTTGACTCTTTGCTGTGGCTTTCTTTCTCGGAATGAAAATCAACACTGCACGTGTGGATTGTGTCTTATTTAATGTCTTGAATCTTGAGAAGCAGTGTTAATTTGAGTATGAATAATTTAATTTTTGCACTGCATGCTAAATTTCATGTTGGTTCAATTTTTGTTTTCAAGAATTTGAATGAGAGACAAGTGAATCAAATTATTGCTTTGTTAGTAGAAAAACTAGGGCAACAATGAAAATTTCACAACATTGAAATACAAAATAAGAATTTCCCCCTTGGAGCCCATGAGATGGCTCCACAAGAAAATTGTTTAAACTAAGAATGACAACGTGAGTTCAAGGCCCAGGACATACCTGGGGTCCTTCAAGTTATCTTCAAGTTATTCTGAATTTGCATGTACTGTATACCATGCATGTCCTCCCGCATAAATACACACACTCATAAACACATACTCACACATGCACACACACACACACATAAAAAGAAAGAGGAAGGAGGAAAAAAGAGAGAATATAATGAATTTCTTAAAAAGGAATTAGAATCTTAAAACTCTTTGCAAGCGATTGCTGCCAGTTGTATACCAGGTGATGATTTAAAAAATGGGGTGTTCTCCCCAACCTTTACTTATGTGGAGGAAGGAAGGAAACCATGCCTTTTGTACTCATTATTTAGCATATCTATTAGAATAAAATTTAAAAACCATATAAAATTTTTGGTTGTAACAAAAGGCATCACTTACAGAAAATCAGTAGCTTTGTTCTTTCTGATTTCTCATATTTTCAAAGAAAACCATCCTGCAAAAAAAAAAAAAGAATGTCAGAAACTCACTCCATATAATTTTTTCTCTTAATTTTATCTATCTTTTTTGAGTATCTTAAATAGTATATTATTGTGGATTTATTCTGAATTTTTTTGCTGATTTTGTATGCCTTTTAAGGTGCCTCTTAAATTCTTTTCATCTGATTTTCTTTTGAATTCTGTATCTCCTCCTTGTTCACCTACCTTCCATGTATTTTGGATATCAATGTGTTTCTGTTAAATAGATAATGTATTCAAATTTGCAACACATAACCATATTTCTGTGTCTCCAGTGAATTTAATTTTCTTTTTTTATGAGTAGTGCTTATATTTTCTTTTCATATTTTTGTAAGACTCTCCTGTAGCGTTCAAAATATATAGCTTTAACCTGTAACTTATACTTTGTTACATATTTCTTTTTTAATTTAATTTTATTTTTAATTACACTTTATTTACTTTGTATCCCGCCTCTCCCCTCCCCTCCTCTCTTACTTATGGTCTTCAGTCCTTTCTCTTCGTCGCACCAGAACTGATTAGGACTTCAGCAGCGTTAAGGCGTTTCATCTATCTTTAGTCCAGACCTCCCACTTCTTGTGTAAGAAAGTCTTCCGCACCTCTCTCTTTCAGAACTCAACACTACCCCTGCTCAGCTCACTTTCTTTCTGCTCACTGGCGTGCCAGGATTAGAAGATATCCAAATTTGGATCTCCATCCCTTTCAGCTTCATGTACCTCTTGGCTGTGTTAGGCAACGTGCTGGTCGTGGCAGTGGTGGTCTCTGACCGGAGCCTCCATGAACCCATGTATCTCTTCCTGGCCATGTTGGCGTTCAACGATGTCCTCCTCTGTACTGTCACTGTGCCCCAGATGCTGCTCATTTTCTGGCAGGGCCCCTTGGCAAGCCCCTTTCCTGCTTGCCTCACACAGATGTTCTTCGTCCACGCCCTTTTCCTCTCTGAATCCGCTGTCTTGCTGGCCATGGCTTTTGATCGCTATGTGGCTATCTGCGCCCCACTGCGTTACACAACCCTGCTTACAGGCTCTCTCATCGGCAAGGTTGGGCTGGCACTGGTAGCTCGGAGTGTGGCTGTTGTCACTCCCGGGGTTCTCCTTATTCTCCGCTTGGACTTCTGCTGGAGCAACATTATCCGCCACACATACTGTGAGAATATGGGCATCGCCAAGCTGGCTTGCAACAGCATTGCCCTAAATAGCGTTTATGGACTCTCAGCTGCGCTCCTTACCACAGGGATGGACTTCGTCTTCATCTCCTTGTCTTACTGGCTAATCTTGAAAACAGTCCTACAACTGCCATCAAGGGAAGCCCGGAAAAAAGCTTTTGGCACCTGCGGAGCACACATTTGTGTCATTTTAATATTCTACACGCTGGCCTTTTTTTCTTTCTTTACCCATCGCTTTGGGCACCATGTCTCCAGGCACACCCTCATTCTCCTGGCTAATCTCTATCTATTGGTACCCCCAACCATGAACCCCATAGTTTACGGAATAAAAACCAAAGAGATAAGGATGCGAGTGGTGGGGCCCTGCTCCCGCCCAAAATGATTCACTGAAACAAAAAAAAAAAAAAGAGAAGGAAATCCAACATAAACAAGGAGACATGAATGAAAATTCAAAACAGTGTGCTCTCATCTATCCCTGGAGCATCTAACAATGGTTAATAAATGGTTTAATAAAACCATTAAACAGAATTCAAGATAGAAAGAACATAAAGTTGGGTGTGTGGAGAGTTGGAGGGTATTTTAGGGGAGTTGGGAGAAAGGGAAAACATGATCAAATTATATGACATGAAAAAAATAAATAAAAAGGAATACGCCTCGGATCCTCCTTGTTGTTCAGTTTCTCTAAGACTGTAGTATGCTTGTCCTGCATTATTCGGGTAATATCCCCTTATGAGTGAGGATATACCATACATGATTTTCTGCTTCTGCATTACCTCACTCAGGATCTTTTTTAGTTCCATCCATTTACCGGAAAATTCCATGATTTCCTTGTTTTTAATTGCTGAGTAATATTCCATTGTGTAAATGTACCACAAGTTCTGTATCCATGACTTTGTTGAGGGACAGCTAGGTTTTTTCCAGATTCTGGCTATTGCAAATAAAGCTGCTACAAACATAGTTTAGCAAATGTCCTTGTTGTTTGGTTGAGCAACTTTCAGATATATGCCCAGGAGTGATATAGCTGGATTCTTAATAAGTTAATTTAATACTTTCATCAATTACAATTTATTCACTTTTTATCTCAGCTGTAGCCCTCTCCTTTGTCCCCTCCCAATTTCACCTTCCTGTGTTCTTCTCCTCCCATGGCCCTCCCCCAGTCCACTGAGAGTGGAGGTCCTTATCACTTTCCATCTGACCCTAGCCTATCAGGTCTCATCAGGACTGGCTGCATTGTCTTCCTCTGTGGCCTGTTAAGGTTGCACTACCCTCAGGAGGAGATCAAAGAGCCAGCCACTGAGTTCATGTCAGAGACAGTCCCTGTTCCCATTACTAGGAAACCCACTTGGCCACTGAGCTGCTATGGGCTACATCTGTGCAGGGGTTCTAGGTTATCTCCATGCATGGTCCTTGGTTGGAAAATCAGTCTCAGAAAAGACCCCTGTGCCCAGATTTCTTGGTTCTGTAGCTCTCCTTGGGGAGTTCCTGTCCTCTCCAGGTCTTATAAAGTGAATAAATTGTAATTAATAATAATTTTTAAAATGAATATATCTAAGCTTTTAAAAAAATGAAAATACAGAGGGTATCATTTCCAAAGGTTATTGTTGTGACATAAATAGGAAAATAACAGGAAATATAAGTATCTCTGAGGAATATGCTGACATAATACAGTACTCAATGAGAAATCAGTGCACTAGAGGAACTTAAACATATTTTTATGTTATATGCACCACTTCTCTGTCAGATGTCCATTGAGGGAATAAAATAATAGCTTTGTCAGGTCTGGAATTATTAATTACTCTAGTCTCATGAAGAACAAAATGTATGAATTCATCTGTGCTCATCAGATAAACAATATAATTAATCAAATAATAAATGTCAAGGATCATATATAACAAGCTCCCTGATATACATCTTATCTATAGAGTCTGTATATAAAATACGTTATTTCATTTATTTAACTTTTAATGTTTTTAACTGAAATAAAATTAAATCATTTCACCACCATTTTATTTCTCCCCACTCCCAAAATTACCCTTCCTCCAAAGCTTCCCATCTCCCAACAGTCTTAATTTTATAGCTTCTTTGACCTTTGATTATATATGTTTGCATATGCACAAACATACATACATGGATACACATATGTGTGTATATATATATATATATATATATATATATATATAATCTGCTAACCTTGTTTTTGTTATTTATTTATGTATATATGCATGTGTGTGTGGCTAAAGAAGGTCAGACACTAGGCTGCTAGAGACCACACCTGCAGAAGATGATTGCTGGTGCAGACAACATCAGTCTAAGGGATAGTGACTCAGAGACAATAAAAATAATCACCCTGCATTTGGTGAGATTGACATTCTAGGTCAATTCATACCCATCACCGAGTGCAGTGTTCTGATTTGAACATGATGAAAGCCTGTCAGGGCTTTTCGTAATAAGATGATCATGGAGACCTGACAGAACATTCAGTAGGCAGATTTGGAACTTAGTTTTCCCTTTGTATTTTTAAATTTTTTATGTTTTGTGTGTGTGATTTTTGAACTGTTTTCTACTGAGGCCCAGGTTAGCCTCACATTCATAACTCTCTTCTTTAGCCTCCTGAGTACAAGGACCCAAAATATACCATCTTGGCCGACTTTCTCTTGGTTCTTTCCTATGTAATTCTTACGTATGCAAGAATTCTTGCATATGTAAGATTCTTACATATGTAAACATATGTAATTTTCCTGGTTTAGTTCCCAGCAACCAACTGACATGATATTTGCATCCTATAGAGCGTGGTATATACATTTTCATCTATAAATTATCTGGGATAAGCATGAAATGTAAACCATTTCTTTACTGCAAAATATTTATTTTGAATAAGAAAAAACTAAAATATTTCTCTGCTGTGTAGGCAAAAATTATGTTGTGAATATAATACAGTAATACAGCCTATTAGTTTTATTTGTTTATTGTACTAAAAGCTTTTTCAAGGCATCTTTTATTTTTAATTTTTAATTTTTTTGATTTTAATTTTTATTAATTACACTTTATTCACTTTGTATCCCCCCATAAGCCCCTCCCCTCCCAGTCCCACCTTCCCTCTTTCTTCTCCACACATGCCCCTCCCCAAGTCCACTGATAGGGGAAGTCTTCCTCTCCTTCCTTCGATCCTACTCTATCAGGTCTTATCAGGAGTGGCTGTACTGTTGTTCTCTGTGGTCTGGTAAGGCTGCACACCCCTCAGTAGGATGACATAAGAGTCAGCCACTGAGTTCATGTCAAAGACAGTCCCTGTTCCCATTTATTAGGGAACTCACTTGGACACTGAGCTTCCTTGGACTACATCTGTGCAGTGGTTCTAGGTTATCTCCATGCATGGTCCTTGGTTAGAGCATCAGTCTCAGAAAAGCCCCCTGTGCCCAGATTTCTTTGTTCTGTTGCTCTTGTTGTAGAGTTCCTGTCCCCTCAAGTCTTCCTATCTCCCCCTTCTTTCATAAGATTCCCTACACTCTGCCCAAAGTTTGGGTATGAGTCTCAGCATCTGTTTTGATACCCTACTGGGTAGAGCCCTTCAGAGTCCCTCTGTGGCAGGCTCCTGTCCTGTTCCCTGTTTTCTCTCACTTCTGATGTCCATCCTTTTTGCCTGTCTGAGTGAGGATTGATCATCTCACCCAGGGTCCTCCTTCTTGCTTAGCTTCTTTAGGAGTACAGATTTTATTATGTTTATTCTGTATTATATGTCTAATATCTACTTATAAGTGTGTATATACCATGTAAATCTTTCTGCTTCTAGGATACCTCACTCAGGATGATCTTTTCTAGTTTCCACATTTTCATGCAAATTTCATGATTTTCTTTTATTTATAATTTTTATTTTATTATTATTAATTACAGTTTATTCACTTTGTATCCCAGCTGTAGCTTCTTCCCCTTCCCATCTCAAACCCACCCTTTCACCCTCTTCTTCTCCTATGCCCTTCCCCCAGTCTAATGATAGGTGAGGTCCTCCTCCCCTTCCATCTGACCCTAGTCTATCAAGTTGCATCAGGACTGGCAGCATTGTCTTCCTCTGCAGCTTGGTAAGGCTGCTTCCCTCTCAGATGGAGGTGATCAAAGAGCTAGCCCATGAGAGATGATAGCAAAAGTTTACTGCCTGGTCAGTCACCAATTCTCTCTCTGTAACATTTCAGCATCGTCTTTAGCCTTCTGGCCGGTCTATCTGGCAGACATAATTGTGAAACAGGAACTATGAAGGACTGCTTACTGTCATGGCGGAACATGGCAGGCATTTCAGCCTGCAACCAAGTCTTCTGCATATTGGCTGTAGAGAGAGCTGGGGAATTTTTCCATTAATGAAGCTATCTACAAAAGGAGATTTTATGATGTCCAACATTTCCATGCTTATAATAACTAACACACTAATGAATACTAAGAGACTGTGACTACCTGCACTAGACCTGAACTAAATCAAGGCAGCCAAAATTCCAGCATAAATGGGTAGATGATCTGCATGCCCCATCACTTATTGAGAAGTTATTTGCAGTGGATAGATGCTAGGGGCTGGCTCTTTGATCACCTCTCCCTGAGGGGGGAGCAGCCTTACCAGGCCACAGAGGAAGACAAAGCAGCCACTCCTGATGAGACCTGATAGGCTAGGGTCAGATGGAAGGAGAGGAGGGCCTCCCTATCAGTGGACTGGGGAAGGGGCATAGGAGAAAAAGAGGGAGAGTGGGCGGATTGGCAGGGAGTGGGGGAGGGGGCTATAGCTGGGATACAAAGTGAATAAACTGTAATTTATAAAAATAAAATAAATATTTGGAGGTACATGTTGGGGAAAACATGGACTTAGAGTGAGAAATTGCTAGATATCATATTTTGTCATGTACACAAATGAAATTATCTTTTTTTTAGTATTCAGTAATATATTTGTTTATTTACTTACTATATACAAACCAAGTACCTGCTACAAAAAAAAATAGTAATGGATGCTTACTGAGTGTCAAATACATGTCAGGATGCCATGCTAACTATTTCAGTCCTCACAACAAACTCCTGAAGTTACTATTTTTTTTTAATTAAATTTTCAAAAATAAAGGAGATGCTTTAAAGGAAGTAAAATGCACTTTGTGTTTAAGTGTGATTTTAAAGTTTTTGTTTTTCTTTGTTGGTCTCCTTGTGTGGCTCCTGTCCCCTCCTGGTCCTTTTACATCTCCCTTCTTCCATAAGACTCTCTGTGCTCTGTCCAAGGGTTTTCTTTTTTTATTTTTTAAATTAAAATTTTATTTTTTATATATTAATTACAGTTTATTCTTTTTGTATCCCAACTGTAGCCACCTCCCTCGTCTCCTCCTAATCCCACCCTCCCCAAGTCCACTGATAGGAGAG